GGATAGTGTTAAACTGTACCAGTCGCACTGTTAGTTCCCCTCTGTCCCTAAAACCGACCACGCGGTAAATGTGCCGGACCAATATGGATGTTAGATTATTAAACGGTGGCAGTAATTGAGAATGCACAATGAACAAATGCCAAATATGGTGGTTGTAGTGGCATGCGAGGGTGCACGTTCGCACGGCGTCAGACACCTGCATCCGTCCTCGTCTCCAGTCTTTTGGACTCCATCTTGACAGCTGAACCAGATAGGTGAGGTAGGGGAGAGTGTGGTAGATGCTGCGCAAGTCCGTTACCACTTTAAACTAATTTAGACACAAGTCATCGCTGTAGTGTGGCGCACAGCGCACCTCGTTGGTAGCGAGGGTATTAATGCCATTAGTTTCCCCGTTTTATGTGATCCCCAAATATACCCACGGCAGCGCAGTCTTAAGTCATTTTCAGCTTTATTGATTGGCAATCTGTTTGCTGATTGTTTATTATGCAGTAGAAGGAACAGTGGAAGTAATTAGGTTCCTTGGGTAAGGTAGGCAAAGACTCATTTCAATTTTGATTTGAAGATATTCTAAAAGGGCTGTCGTCTAGAGTATTGTCCGATGGCAGTCTCCATAGATGTTATACTCTGTCTTGTACATGAGCGGCGCTGTCAATGGTGCCACCGTCCCAGGATCTGAAAAAGAAAAGGCAGAAGGAATAGAGTAGAACGCCATTTTAAGCCAACCAAATAATTAAGGTTCCTAGTATTTAAAAAAACGCATTTTTGCTGAAGCAACAGTAATATATAGTCCGTTAAATCTGCAGACTGATATGCTATAAAAACATGTGGCAAAACCCTACAGATCAAACTTGTAAACTTGCTTGATTCGAACAAATAGTAAACAAAGCATAAAGATTCTGAGAATGTTACGTATGCTCCAATATAAGTTAATTTCCAAGAACCTTAGTTCACGTACACCTCATGGTAATTGATAAGGACTGGTAACAAGCAACTTTGTTTATTCGAAAACATGTTAATTATTTTGGGCTAGACTGAACCTTCTCAACTGTGTCCAAAAGACAGGGCCTTTGAAATTTTACTTGGATCGTAACTGACCAAATTTTACTCATAATTTAAAGAAAGTGGACGATCTAGCCTAGATAAATTGCTGAAAACAGTGTAGATATATTATATAATATCATTGATAAAATAAAGCGAATCCAAAAAGTGCCAACGCAATTGTATGACTTTTTAAATGACATACCTGGCAAAACATACGGAGTATCAACAGGACAAACCCTTGCTGCCTTAGCGAAAGCAGTTGAAGACCCATCATAGCTTTCCATGTGCAGAGTTTTGAAACCGCTTAAATTAAAAATACAACATTACGTACCTTGATCCAAAGACTTGAACCGTTTGTTTGTATCTAAATACTACATAATTTCATAAAATATCTTCCTGATAAAATGCATACTTTTCTTCTCTCGGGACAAAATGCCACAAGTTTTAATTAGCTTCCCAAATATAAATCCAGCTGCGTGAAAAGCAACGGACAACTACTATGGTGATTATTCAAGTTAAAAGCCTTCACAGTTAGATGTTCAGTTGAAAATATACAAAAAAACCGGTCGTTTGGTACCAGTTGTTACTTATAAAGAGAAACAAATGCAATGGTCGTCTGACCTGTGCGGAACGGTGACCGGAGGCGGTGGAATGCGACGTATCTTTGTTTCAAATTTGAATTTCAGTTCGTCGCGCATTGGAAATTGTTGACGGGGAACGTTTTCCTCAGTGACTGGACTACAAAGCGGAAACGAATATTGTAGGCCGTTGTGTACAACCAAAAGAACATCACTATATAGGGCTTTAGAACACATTAATATTCCTTAAAATGTTAAGTAGCATGGTTGAGCAGGCACCAAATGAACTCCATCTGGTCACAGTTTGTAATAACTAGCATCGGAAAAATTTTCCAATAGGAGAGTACGTGTCTAGTGTTAGACCTGATGTGCAGATCAGCAACGTTAAGAAAACAAGAAGACTACAAATTAAAATATTTTATAATTAATAAAATGAGTACAGAAAGAGACGAAGATAGGAACCGCTCCCTAAAATATATGTACACTGAGTATACTGTTAAGGGAATGTAATTATCACCACATCAGTCCGCCCGCGAGACCCCTATGTCGTGATTTAATTTCAAAAATAAGAGTAAAATACGGCTGCTGTTAAGCTCTATAAAAATATATAGACATGCGACATTCTCTTTGCAAAGAGTTAACACAACACACCGTTCACAACACTTTTTATGATTGCTCAAATATTGCTGCTTTGACAATTTTGACCCACCCATCAGCGATGGGCTTGGACAGCCAACAACCTAGGGCCGATACAATTCTAGTTGTTTTTAGGACGTTAATTGAAAACGAACATTCTTTTCTCTAGCAAAGCAGCCCATATATACTATCCGTTCAATTAATAGGACTAAAGAAAACATTGTAATATCTAGTATAAAAGCAGTATCTGAGTACCTATATACGCACTGTAATATATTTACTATAGTAAACGAGATCTTTTATAATAAATACATATATATCCGAATTTCCAAGAACGAAAGTCAAAATGAACCATAGGTATTCATATCCAATTAGGTTCTTTGAAGTACAATTACCGACACTCGTAAAAAGGCATTTGAATGCTACTTCTTTCTACAGCTGTTCCCGCAGAGTAAAGAAGCGTGGTAATTCACTCAGTAAACGACTGTATGAAACTGCAGCTGATCAGCTTAAACTTAAGACTTACTTGTTTTTAAGGCCATAACCCCAGGCTTTCGGAGTTTTGTTGGTTTCCCAGTGTGTTAGAATGTCCTTCTTTGAATAACCCTTTAATTCTTCAGGATGCCATGAACGGTGAGTCTTTAAGTTTGTTGTTAGGTAAGGATCTAACTGGCGCATGACTTCCGAACCTAAAGGTGGAAGGTTGTCACCACCCCATTTGTCCTCAATATTTTTGGCAAGTTTTTCCTATGCAAATTGGGCACATAATTATTTTTCTACCTTATTAAATTCGTGTGGATCATATTCATGTAGAAGGAAATCCTTTATCCCAAGAAGATCTTTAGGTTCCGATAATGGTTCTGGAGCCTTAAACGCCTCATGGGTTTCAGATAATTGATTCCGAGGACTCAGTGATCGTCTCCATGGTCTTCTGTTGGAGACGAAACGGTACTCTTTGAGGTAATTGACTTTTTCGAGTGACGGGGCCATATTATGTAATGGTT